CGGCCCGAAACGAGTCTGGCATCCAGGATACCAAGATAAGAGCAAGCTGCAAGTGTTCTCACTGGTATTCCTGTATTTGTTGGAGTGTCGTGCCTTTCAATATCGACTCTGGAGGTGTACGGATGAAATTTGATCGCTAACAATGTGAACCAAGATGTATACATGTACATTTTGTGTGTTCTGGTATTCCTGTATCTATATTGGAGTGTTGTGCCTTCAAATATAGACTCCTGAGGTGTATGGACGAAATTCGATCACTAACAAATCTTCTAAAATATACAGAAATGTATCTAACATTCCTCTTCCACCCCCACCCCCCCTACCCAGTATTATCCTAACAAGTATGTAAGTCAACAGCATGTCTTGATTTTACAAATACTTGTACTTTAAGATATGTGGTTGTAATTTCATCTTTTAAAAATCCTATAAGATATGTGATTGTTACGGTGACATTGTGTTGCTTTGTTTCCTCTCAAACATGAAGTTAAATGACAGCAAACATAAATGGATTTACAGTATTAAGGCTTCCTTCTTGCAAATAACCTCTAATAGTATACAGAGACGCAATGGCCAGTAGGGCTGATTTTTAAGCACAGTTCTGGCACCATCAGCCCTCAAATGGCTCATCTGGGATCTTGCTGATTGAAGAGTGAAGACATCCTACGGATTCCTACACTATACTCATTAAGCCATCGTTAAGACCCTCCTAAGACTGATCTATTCATTAAGGCCTTTTTGGGGCATTGATTGAATATTTTACCTTTTGGGGTCACTCCAAATGGGAGTTACTTTACCCTGGTATTAGTATTGCTAAATAATATGGGAGGATTTGATGTTTTGCATAAAGGTGTAGTCTAGAATAATGTTGCTAATTGTAAATATCAATGTGTTTAACTGCTTATTTGTAAAAGTTTTTGCATATTGTGTTGTTGATTATTGACTCATATATATACATAGTGACTGTCTTCTGTATTTTTCTGTATTCTTTGCAGATTCTGTCATATCTTTGGTCTCTTTTTGATGGAAATAAACTCATTTGACATTCCTTTACTTACTTACTGAGAAAAGAAAATTTGTTACCATGAACATATTTCACATACAAATAAGATTTTTAATTACATGTATTAGTAAAAAAAATGTTTTGTACTCTATATAAACTTCAAGATTTGAATCGAGTTACTTATGTCAATTCCTTGAAATTAGCCATGTAAAATCAGTGAATTTGGTATGAATTAACAACATCACTGTTTGAACATGTATCTATATAATAGACTAGTGTTATTTATGTCATATCTTGGAATGTATGTGTTTTTACTTTTAGTATGTTTATTAACATGATTTCATTTGGAGAATAAACCTTTTTCCACACTTTTATAATCTAGAGTTAGAGTTCAAAAAGTCACTTTTGCAGGTGAGAGGCAAAAGCGCCCCCACCGGTTGGTTTGTGTACTGCACCAACCGGCATCGGTTGTTGACCTCAGCAGGATAACACTACATCCAAGGTCAACGTTCCAATATGAAAAATAAGATGGTCTCCATACATTCTTTACAGGTTCCCAATAACCACAAAAAATTACATATATGCACTTATAATTTACATGTATGGGTAATGTAAAATGCCTTGTTCTAAAAGATGTCCGCATTACATATGCATTTACAGGAACGTAATATGGCCATAAATGCATAATACAATTTCTGTGTCCCAAAACTACTAATATTCACGAATGTTTAGCCCAAAAGTTTTTACTGTAGAGTCTATCTTTAGAAGAAAATCTTAAATACGACAAAATTCCTAGTTTTACCAAACTTGCCATCAGTCTAAATAAGAAATGGACGACACAAATTCGCTCATTAAGTAGTAGTCATCTTCCTAGATCCTCCAATATAGCATCAGCGCGTATCTCGGCCTTCTGACGCACAAATTTATCGATTTCCACTAACGTCTTCACGGTTGGAGTGGCCGCCATATCACGTCCTCCGTGTGCGGAATGGCAAATATGCGCAGTGACGTCATAAGGGGTAAATTATGGGCGTGAACGGGTGTGTGGCTCCAAGCAGATGTTGGGAGGTGGAAGGTTGAGTAAAAAGACTCTTTTTAGTTCTTACACAACCAAGTCTTTTATTCTCAGCCGACGTATCGGTGACCGTCTGTCACCTTCCTCAGGGCTGGTTCACATTGCATTGTAGCCTCTACCAGGTTTCGGGAGGCGGTTGGAAAGAGTAGAAATCGGCCAAATAGAGAGATAACATGCCAGGGGAGTTTGTCTGCTGGGAGAGAACATTTTGCCGCACCCGCTGCTACAGATGCATTCCCAAAGGTGGAAGGTTGTAAACGTTTTCCGTCTGTTTTGTCTCACAGATTCTTAGAAGCCCCACCGTGTAGTGCTAGTTGGTTATCAGTAGCCCCCACCAAACCCTCCTAAGGGTGGCTAGCATTAGTAACTTAAGGCATATGTAACTTACAGTAGCCTCCACCAGGCCTTCCTAAGGTGACTATCAGTAGCCTCTACCAGGCCTTGCTAAGGGGTTATTTGTATACTGCGTATTTCTTTATCCATGCCGTTGGCAATGTTTTGTTTTCATACAATACATCACGGTCCTTGACTACGTGACAACATGTCGATTTCTGTATAATGTCAAAACATTTCAAACTGCTTTCGTTTCCCTCACAATATGTATGCCTTGCAAGAGGTGTGTTTTCCCTCAAATCCGGCAGTGAGTTACGAAAAGCCACCATAATTCTTTCAAATAACCATTTATAACATCATACGTTTCCAAACAACCGTGTAGTGCATTTCAAACTGTTTTCATTTTCCTTACAACAGCTCGTACTATATACATATATGTGCGTTGCAAGAGGTATGTTTTCCCTCAAATCCTCTATACGAAATAGCCTGGGTGCCAGACACATAGCACACTGGACACAAAGTATCTCCGTGTTCACTGAGATACTTCCGTGTTCACTGAGATACTTTGTGTCCAGTGTTCTATGGGTCTGGCACCCAGGCTACTTACACGAAAAGCCGCCGCAATTCTCTCAAATAACCATTTATAACACACGTTTCCAAACAACCGTGTCGTGCATTTCAAACTGGCTTTCATTTTCCTTTAATAAATACAATATATCATGTGCGTTCCAAGAGGTATGTTTTCCCTCAAATCCTCTTACGAAATAGCCTGGGTGCATGTGCTATGGGTCTGGCGCCTAGGCTATTTTATACGCAAAGCCGCCGCAATTCTCTCAAATAACCATTTATAACACACGTTTCCAAACAACCGTGTAGTATGTGCGTCATTTGTAACGACATTTGGCACTTTTCCCATCCATATTACCATGCAAGCGCGGGAGATTGCATCCAATCAGAAAGCAGCAATCGAGGCCACCTCCGCATGGCTTTTTTCATTCATCAAATAATTATGTCTTCGGAGCAAAAGAAGTCATTCCACGGGCGTCCATAGGGACTGGGGTAATGAGACAAGCGCGGAAATTATTTTTCATCAGTAGCAGATGGCCGCGCGCCAACCTTAACGGGGCACGGCCATAAGTATCAACATTGGGATATTTATCCTTGAAGAAGTCATTTTGTCTGACAAACATTTGAGAAAAACTCTGATAAGATAATAATAGAAAGAAATGATTTTTCTCAACGAATTTAGTTATTGAGACAAACATATTCTACATCGAATATGTGGAGAAATCGGGTGATGAAATAAATGTTGCAGTTGTGCCAAACTTGGGGATCGGCCATAAGTATAAACATTGACGAAATTGCGCATCGTTAGAAAAATGGCAACAGCACAATCATTTTTCTCTCGTACATAATACCTCAAGATATTGTTAGTGTTTTTTATCAATTCAAAATTTTCAAATCATACAAATTTAAATTGTACAGTGGTTTCATCATATATTGAACATGTGGATTGAGATCAGGCTATAGATTGCAATGTGCTTCCCAAATCCCTCAGATCGATTATTTCTAAACCTCGTGTCACGAAATTGCAAACTTGTGTTCGAACCACGCAGGATGATTTTCTAGCTTGTCTTTCAGGGTCGAGCTTTGATTAAAACCGGGACCGATCGCTAGTTATCCCCGATATAGCGAGGAATGTTCTATTTGTGAGGTCCTGGTAGCCTCTACCAGACTTCGGGAGGCGGTAGGAAAGAGTGGAAATTGGTCAAATAGACACATAACATACCAGAATATAGCAGCAAAATGTACTCTCGAATAACGGCAAAATATATTCTCTAATAGCGGCAAAATGTACTCTCTATTAACGGACCAACTCCCCTGTCATGTTATCTGTCTATTTTGGCCAATCAGTCTACTCTTTCCAGCCGCTTCTGAAGCCTGGCAGAGGCTACGTATCAGCCGCTTCTGAAGCCTGGTAGAGGCTACGTATCATCCGTTTCTGAAGAATGGTAGAGGCTACGTATCAGCCGCTTATGAAGCCTGGTAGAGGCTACGTAACAGCCGCTTCTGAAGACCGGTAGAGGCTACGTATACGTTCGGGGTAGCTTTTTCTACCGGACCAACCCCCCTGACATGTTATATGTTTATTCGGCTCTTTCCAGCCGCTTCTGAAGCCTGGCAGATCGAGGCTACGTATACGTTCTTGGCAGGATTTATTTGGTAGGTTCTAATTCTGTCCTGAAACAGTCGGCTGAGTGTTTATTCTGGTCCTGCGGATCGCATACCGCGGCCCGAGTCACTTTGATCACCGAACAGGCAATTATGTAGATGACCTTCCGCCAATATAACCCCATTCCGCGACGCTCGCCCAAAATGGTTCTTTGGAGACCGCATGTGGAAGTCGGGAACGCCTGTAGTTTAGTAAAAGGGGGCCCGCATGCCCTTCTCCGTCGAACGTAATCGACCTTTTTATTCTAGCCACTACCAGGCTTGGGGAGGCGGCTGGAAAGAGTAGAAATCGGCCAAATAGAGGGAAAACAGCGGCGAAATGTTCTCTCAACGGACAAACTCCCTTGGCATGCTTATCCCTCTATTTGGCCGATTTATACTCTTTCCAGCCGCCTCCCCAAGCCTGGTAGAGGCTGTTTTTATTCTACGTAGAGCGTAGACGGACCGCTTTAATTCAACGTATACCATGGAGGTAAAAAAGAGACTTTTTTTACCTCCATGCGTATACGTAGAGCGTAATTGGCGCATTTTGTGTAGAGCGTAATTCGCGTTTTAATTCTACGCAATGCGTTGTAGCCACTTGGAATTTATTGTAAAGCGTAATCGCTACTGTAGCGTAATACTAGTACCCACAGTGACTAGTACCTAGCCGGCTCTCGAAATTTAGCGTAGAGGGTTGCCGGGACCCCCTCATGCAAGCCCCCCAAAACGATTGTTTTGAGACTGCATGTGGAAGTCGGTAACGCCTGTAGTTAGAGAGTAATGTCCTCTGGTTTCTGGCGGAGGCAAATCCTGGTATCAATTATACACACTAGGTAGCAATTTGCTGAGAAAAAATACAGTTATCTTAAGTG